GCTGCCTTCGAGGAAAGCTGACTGCCTTCGGTTGCTCCCTGCTTGCCTAGGGAAAGCTGCCTTCGGGTTGCCCCTGCCTTGCCGAGGGAAAGCTGCCTTCGGGTTGCCCCTGCCTTGCCTAGGGAAAGCTGCCTTCGGGTTGCCCCTGCCTTGCCGAGGGAAATCTGCCTAGGGAAAGCTGCCTTCGGTTGCTCCCTGCCTTGCCTAGGGAAAGCTGCCTTCGGGTTGCCCCTGCCTTGCGAGGGAAATCTGCCTTCGGGTTGCCCCTGCCTTGCCGAGGGAAAGCTGCCTTCGCCCTGCCTTGCCTAGGAAAGCTGCCTTCGGGTTGCCCCTGCCTTGCGAGGGAAAGCTGCCTTCGGGTTGCTCCCTGCCTTGCCTAGGGAAAGCTGCCTTCGGGTTGCCCCTGCCTTGCCTAGGGAAAGCTGCCTTCGGGTTGCCCCTGCCTTGCCTAGGGAAAGCTGCCTTCGGGTTGCCCTGCCTTGCAGGAAAGCTGCCTTCGGTTGCTCCTGCCTTGCCTAGGGAAAGCTGCCTTCGGGTTGCCCCTGCCTTGCCGAGGGAAAGCTGCCTTCGGGTTGCTCCCTGCCTTGCCGAGGGAAAGCTGCCTTCGGGTGCCCCTGCCTTGCCGAGGGAAAGCTGCCTTCGGGTTGCCCCTGCCTTGCGAGGGAAAGCTGCCTTCGGGTTGCTCCCTGCCTTGCCTAGGGAAAGCTGCCTTCGGGTTGCTCCCTGCCTTGCCGAGGGAAAGCTGCCTTCGGGTTGCCCCTGCCTTGCCTAGGGAAAGCTGCCTTCGGGTTGCCCCTGCCTTGCCGAGGGAAAGCTGCCTTCGGGTTGCTCCCTGCCTTGCCTAGGGAAAGCTGCCTTCGGGTTGCTCCCTGCCTTGCCTAGGGAAAGCTGCCTTCGGGTTGCTCCTGCCTTGCTAGGGAAAGCTGCCTTCGGGTTGCTCCTGCCTTGCCTAGGGAAAGCTGCCTTCGGGTTGCTCCCTGCCTTGCCTAGGGAAAGCTGCCTTCGGGTTGCCCCTGCCTTGCCGAGGGAAAGCTGCCTTCGGGTTGCTCCCTGCCTTGCGAGGGAAAGCTGCCTTCGGGTGCCCTGCCTTGCCGAGGGAAAGCTGCCTTCGGTTGCCCCTGCCTTGCCGAGGAAAGCTGCCTTCGGGTTGCTCCCTGCCTTGCCTAGGGAAAGCTGCCTTCGGGTTGCTCCCTGCCTTGCCGAGGGAAAGCTGCCTTCGGGTTGCCCCTGCCTTGCTAGGGAAAGCTGCCTTCGAGGGAAAGCTGCCTTCGGGTTGCTCCCTGCCTTGCCTAGGGAAAGCTGCCTTCGGGTGCCCCTGCCTTACCGAGGGAAAGCTGCCTTCGGGTTGCTCCCTGCCTTGCCTAGGAAAGCTGCCTTCGGGTTGCCCCTGCCTTGCCTAGGGAAAGCTGCCTTCGGGTTGCTCCCTGCCTTGCCGAGGGAAAGCTGAGGGAAAGCTTCGCCCCTTCCTGGCGCCTTGCCGAGGAAAGCTGCCTTCGGGTTGCCCCTGCCTTGCCGAGGGAAAGCTGCCTTCGGGTTGCTCCTGCCTTGCCGAGGGAAAGCTGCCTTCGGGTTGCTCCCTGCCTTGCCTAGGGAAAGCTGCCTTCGGGTTGCCCCTGCCTTGCCGAGGGAAAGCTGCCTTCGGGTTGCTCCCTGCTTGCCGAGGGAAAGCTGCCTTCGGGTTGCTCCCTGCCTTGCCCTAGGGAAAGCTGCCTTCGGGTTGCCGCTGCCTTCGCGAGGGAAAGCTGCCTTCGGGTTGCTCCCTGCCTTGCCTAGGAAAGCTGCCTTCGGGTTGCCCCTGCCTTGCCTGCTTCGGGTTGCTCCCTGCCTTGCCTAGGGAAAGCTGCCTTCGCCTTGCCGAGGAAAGCTGCCTTCGGGTTGCCCCTGCCTTGCCTAGGGAAAGCGCCTTCGCCCTGCCTTGCCGAGGGAAAGCTGCCTTCGGGTTGCTCCCTGCCTTGCCGAGGGAAAGCTGCCTTCGGGTGCCCCTGCCTTGCCGAGGGAAAGCTGCCTTCGGGTTGATCCCTGCCTTGCCTAGGGAAAGCTGCCTTCGGGTGCCCCTGCCTTGCCAGGGAAAGCTGCCTTCGGGTTGCCCCTGCCTTGCCGAGGGAAAGCTGCCTTCGGTTGCGCCTTGCCTATCCCTGCCTTGCCTAGGGAAAGCTGCCTTCGGTTGATCCCTGCCTTGCCTAGGGAAATGCCCTGCCTTGCCGAGGGAAAGCTGCCTTCGGGATGCCCCTGCCTTGCCGAGGGAAAGCTGCCTTCGGGTTCCCCTGCCTTGCCGAGGGAAAGCTGCCTTCGGGTTGCCCTGCCTTGCGAGGGAAGCTGCCTTCGGGTTGCCCCTGCCTTGCCGAGGGAAAGCTGCCTTCGGGTTGATCCCTGCCTTGCCGAGGGAAAGCTGCCTCGGGTTGCCCTGCCTTGCCTAGGGAAAGCTGCCTTCGGGTTGCTCCCTGCCTTGCCTAGGGAAAGCTGCCTTCGGGATGCCCCTGCCTTGCCTAGGAAAGCTGCC